CATATGTTAAAATACTAACTGACAGTTCCTGAATGATTCCCCCAATTAGTTCTGGTGTACCTGTCCACCCTCTGACCATACACACATATACATGTACCATATGTGTTAACTTACAATGGCACAGACCTGCCTCACACAACCTGTCTATCACAAAGTACAGATGTGGCCCCAGCTGCTGGCTCCTTAACTCAAACCACATGTCTCCACCAGGCCAGACAATAGATGGGTGATTAGGTTACATGTATCTCTACCTGCTATAGACAAATACTCCTTTTCATCTATATAATTTCTTCTTCCTCACAATCATCCATTGCTAAATTGAATCCATGTTTCCAACATTATCAGCCCTGCATACTAAATGGAAAAGTCAGCTACATGTGCCAATTAAAATCAAGATACTGCATGGTCGTGTAAGGTATAAGGGTAAGGCATTATCATAAACCTTTCCTACATCTAGTAGGGAGGTTTCCATACCTACAGTTGTACATCTAGTAGGGAATTTTCCGTGTCTACAGTTGTACATCTAGAAGGAAAGCTTCCATGTCTACAGTTCTACATGTAGTAGGAAAGTTTCCATATCTACAGTTGTACATCTAGTAGGGAGGTTTCCATACCTACAGTTGTAAATCTAGTAGGAAAGTTTCCATACCTACAGTTGTACATCTAGTAGGGAAGTTTCCGTGTCTACAGTTGTACATGTAGTAGGAAAGTTTCTATGTCTACAGTTGTACATCTAGTAGGGAAGTTTCCATACCTACAGTTGTACATCTAGTAGGAAAGTTTCTATGTCTAAAGTTGTACATCTAGTAGGAAAGTTTCCATCCCTACAGTTGTACATCTAGAAGGAAAGTTTCCATGTCTACAGTTGTACATGTAGTAGGAAATTTTCCATGTCTACAGTTGTACATCTAGTAGGAATGTTTCTATGTCTACAGTTGTACATCTAGTCGGAAAGTTTCTATGTCTACAGTTGTACATCTAGTCGGAAAGTTTCTATGTCTACAGTTGTACATCTAGTACGAAAGTTTCCATGTCTACAGTTGTACATGTAGTAGGAAATTTTCCATGTCTACAGTTGTACATCTAGTAGGGAAGTTTCCGTGTCTACAGTTGTACATGTAGTAGGAAAGTTTCCATGTCTACAGTTGTACATTTAGTAGGGAAGTTTCCATGTCTGCAGTTGTACATCTAGTAGGAAAGTTTCCATGTCTACAGTTGTACATCTAGCAGGAAAGTTTCTATGTTTACAGTTGTACATCTAGTAGGAAAGTTTCTATGTCTAAAGTTGTACATCTAGTAGGAAAGTTTCCATACCTGCTGTTGTACATCTAGTAGGAAAGTTTCCATACCTACGGTTGTACATCTAGAAGGAAAGTTTCCATGTCTACAGTTGTACATTTAGTAGGGAAGTTTCCATGTCTGCAGTTGTTCATCTAGTAGGGAAGTTTCCATGTCTACAGTTGAACATCTAGTAGTGAAGTTTCCATGTCTGCAGTTGTACATCTAGTAGGGAAGTTTCCATGTCTACAGTTGAACATCTAGTAGGGAAGTTTCAATGTCTGCAGTTGTACATCTAGTAGGGAAGTTTCCATGTCTACAGTTGAACATCTAGTAGTGAAGTTTCCATGTCTGCAGTTGTACATCTAGTAGGGAAGTTTCCATGTCTGCAGTTGTTCATCTAGTAGGGAAGTTTCCATGTCTACAGTTGAACATCTAGTAGTGAAGTTTCCATGTCTGCAGTTGTACATCTAGTAGGGAAGTTTCCATGTCTGCAGTTGTTCATCTAGTAGGGAAGTTTCCATGTCTACAGTTGAACATCTAGTAGTGAAGTTTCCATGTCTGCAGTTGTACATCTAGTAGGAAAGGTTCCATGTCTACAGTTGTACATTTAGTAGGGAAGTTTCCATGTCTGCAGTTGTTCATCTAGTAGGGAAGTTTCCATGTCTACAGTTGAACATCTAGTAGGGAAGTTTCAATGTCTGCAGTTGTACATCTAGTAGGGAAGTTTCCATGTCTACAGTTGAACATCTAGTAGGGAAGTTTCAATGTCTGCAGTTGTACATCTAGTAGGGAAGTTTCCATGTCTACAGTTGAACATCTAGTAGGGAAGTTTCCATGTCTGCAGTTGTACATCTAGTAGGAAAGTTTCCATACCTGCTGTTATACATCTAGTAGGAAAGTTTCCATACCTACAGTTGAACATCTAGTAGGAAAGTTTCCATACCTACGGTTGTACATCTAGAAGGAAAGTTTCCATGTCTACAGTTGTACATCTAGTAGGGAGGTTTCCATACCTACAGTTGTAAATCTAGTAGGAAAGTTTCCATACCTACAGTTGAACATCTAGTAGGAAAGTTTCCATACCTACAGTTGTACATCGAGTAGGAAAGTTTCCATACCTACTGTTGTACATCTAGTAGGAACATTTCCATACCTACAGTTGTACATCTAGTAGGAAGGTTTCCATTCCTACTGTTGTACATCTAGTAGGAAAGTTTCCATACCTACAGTTGAACATCTAGTAGGAAAGTTTCCATACCTACAGTCGTACATCTAGTAGGGAAGTTTCCATACCTACAGTTGTACATCTAGAAGGAAAGTTTCCATGTCTACAGTTGTACATCTAGCAGGAAAGTTTCTATGTTTACAGTTGTACATCTAGTAGGAAAGTTTCTATGTCTAAAGTTGTACATCTAGTAGGAAAGTTTCCATGTCTTCAGTTGTACATCTAGTAGGAAAGTTTCCATACCTGCTGTTATACATCTAGTAGGAAAGTTTCCATACCTACAGTTGAACATCTAGTAGGAAAGTTTCCATACCTACGGTTGTACATCTAGAAGGAAAGTTTCCATGTCTACATTTGTACATTGGGTAGGGAGGTTTCCATACCTACAGTTGTAAATCTAGTAGGAAAGTTTCCATACCTACAGTTGAACATCTAGTAGGAAAGTTTCCATACCTACAGTTGAACATCTAGTAGGAAAGTTTCCATACCTACTGTTGTACATCTAGTAGGAACGTTTCCATACCTACTGTTGTACATGTAGTAGTAAAGTTTCCATACCTACAGTTGTACATCTAGAAGGAAAGTTTCCATGTCTACATTTGTACATTGGGTAGGGAGGTTTCCATACCTACAGTTGTAAATCTAGTAGGAAAGTTTCCATACCTACAGTTGAACATCTAGTAGGAAAGTTTCCATACCTACAGTTGAACATCTAGTAGGAAAGTTTCCATACCTACGGTTGTACATCTAGAAGGAAAGTTTCCATGTCTACAGTTATACATTGGGTAGGGAGGTTTCCATACCTACAGTTGTAAATCTAGTAGGAAAGTTTCCATACCTACAGTTGAACATCTAGTAGGAAAGTTTCCATACCTACAGTCGTACATCTAGTAGGGAAGTTTCCATACCTACAGTTGTACATCGAGAAGGAAAGTTTCCTTGTCTACAGTTGTACATCTAGTAGGAAAGTTTCCATACCTACATACTTTGGATCATTATATAAACATGATTTTTATTTCAGATTTTATGAACATGTACAGATAATTATTTCAAATGAAACATCTAGAACTGATTAAGTGACTAATTAAAACATGAGAAAACAAACGACCAATTAAAACATAAAAAAATAAACCAACAAATGGGAAATCCAATTGAATCACAGGGAAATTAAACCCAACCAATTAAACATACGAACTAACCAAGCAGTAAAAGTCACATCTCAACTAAAGCAAGGGGAAATAACAGATAAAAATAGAGGGAATGTATACGTAAAAAACATTAAAAACATGGTAAATTAATCAATCATGAAGGTAAATGCTATTAAAGCATTGGAAATTAAACAAGTAAAACAAGACAAACCAATGAAACAGGAATTAACAAAACAATCAAAACATGCGAACTAATCTACAAATTAAAACAAGGGAAAACCGTTTCTTTGCACAGTAGAAAGGTTCTTATAACACAACCAGTGAAGTCAAGGTCTCTTTGAACACCTATCATTTAATCAACTGATACAGGAAATTAGAACAATACAGGTCATATACCACATATGTTAAATATGCTATAAATAATACATTACAGTATTTCATGAATCAATTATAATTCAAGAATGAACTATAGATATCACAATTTATAAAATTGTATCAAATTCTCCATTAGTATACAATTTGGAGGATCCACACAAAATAACCTACACTACAATAATTAAACAAACTGCACAGAGATTATGGTAGATTTATCAATAATGTTTCATAAGACACCAGATGGAGCAGGTGCTTTGTATATTTGTAACCATTAAGCTGTGTCAGGAAACTTTACATGTAACCTTTAGTCAGCCTTTAATCTGCTTGAATAGATCACAATCCAGTTAGTATTGAAAAGTTGTAGGAGGTATTTCATATTGGATTTGTATCACAGAAAATAAGAGGACTTTCAGTATGAGGGAAGATCTAGAGTACATAGTGTACCCCTACTTATGTCACCTATACTGTCACGGTTATGTATGGGCACCTTACCGACATCTACAATCGGTCATGTTCATCTCAATCACAGCTTACAATGTATACCATTTGAACAAGATCAAACAAATCTTGAGAGCAGACATTTAACTTTCTGTGTGGAGAGACATGCTTAAGGTGCAATATTTAAAACATGGTCATTGAGACCTGATAGATCTACAGGGGCTGCTTCAGAGGACAATAGGACCCATGTCTGTGTTGACTGAGGGACGGAGGAATGATTTAGGTTTATCTACATTCTTTAGAGTTTTATATGTTACATAAATCTCAGCTGAGTCATGTATACATCAAAATATGTGCCAAAAATATGGCTTCTTCACTAGCTCTCCCCTTAATATGTCTGCTCGTTGTCGCATACTTTTCTCACACGTAATTGGTGCTTGACCAAGTTAGATAGGACTGTTTTCAGATAAGATTTACTTCTTATCGAGATCATAAAGAAAGATTAAAAAAAAATATACAAAGTAAAAAATTACCTCACATATCCTTGGAATCAGACCTGCATCTTCCTGTGAATGAAAAACAAAACGTCTTACATAAATCATAGTCTAGTTGACTAAAAATGATATATTTGCATCATCCTTAATTTGTGTTAAAAAGCAATTTTTGTGAAGATACAAAGAATGTCTGGGGAAGGGGCTGCAGCTGGGGAGACAACTGCTAAGGTATGTACTGCTATGACAGATGTTCGTTGTCAATGTTACCAAAAATTCAAAATGCAATAATTCTAAAATTGCTGAGATCCAACACAAAGAGCCTTAGCCCTTTCATCCCTATGTAACTTTAGTAGACTCTACCGTGTATTGATATGGATGAGTCCATTATGGTCTACAGTGGTGAAAGGGTTAACATGCTGGAGTTGAACCAATGCCTACCAACACATTGACACACTGTTAAGCTCTCTAGACTACAGACAGTCAGGACTGCCTCTGTTTTAATCTGTACTTTAAGAACAAGAAGCCGACTCCTTTAAAGATGTCAACAATCATCTTAGCAGTNAGTCAGGACTGCCTCTGTTTTAATCTGTACTTTAAGAACAAGAAGCTGACTCCTTTAATGATGTCAACAATCATCTAAGCAGTATACATACTCAGACAGATTTGTGTGGGGGTACAACAAGGATAGGTAAAGGATACATACTCAGACAGACTTGTGTGGGGGTACAACAAGGATAGGTAAAGGATACATACTCAGACAGACTTGTGTGGGGGTACAACAAGGATAGGTAAAGGATACATACTCAGACAGACTTGTGTGGGGGTACAACAAGGATAGGTAAAGGATACATACTCAGACAGACTTGTGTGGGGGTACAACAAGGATAGGTAAAGGATACATACTCAGACAGACTTGTGTGGGGGTACAACAAGGATAGGTAAAGGATACATACTCAGACAGACTTGTGTGGGGGTACAACAAGGATAGGTAAAGGATACATACTCAGACAGACTTGTGTGGGGGTACAACAAGGATAGGTAAAGGATACATACTCAGACAGACTTGTGTGGGGGTACAACAAGGATAGGTAAAGGATACATACTCAGACAGACTTGTGTGGGGGTACAACAAGGATAGGTAAAGGATACATACTCAGACAGACTTGTGTGGGGGTACAACAAGGATAGGTAAAGGATACATACTCAGACAGACTTGTGTGGGGGTACAACAAGGATAGGTAAAGGATACATACTCAGACAGACTTGTGTGGGGGTACAACAAGGATAGGTAAAGGATACATACTCAGACAGACTTGTGTGGGGGTACAACAAGGATAGGTAAAGGATACATACTCAGACAGACTTGTGTGGGGGTACAACAAGAATAGGTAAAGGATACATACTCAGACAGACTTGTGTGGGGGTACAACGAGGATAGGTAAAGATACATAAAGCTTATTTTGACTAGAAATACAACCAATAGGTCACAAACAGTTTCTGTCAGCCATAATCCACTCTCAAGTGAGTTATATCATCTGATCCAATGACAGTGCATATTTCTGTTGCAAGTGACAACCTATGACTTCTGATAACTTGGGAGTTGTGTAAGTGATGGCTGGTAACCCCTTATGAGTCTAAGTAATGTTTAATATGTTTTCATAAACTGTATTAATGGTCAATTAATTTGCATTAGGTTAATTTCCTCAGGCCATTTCAGACAACTAAATACAGCATGCTTCAGGGCTTTTCTTCTAGTTAATCATTCATAATAATGTTACTTTTCCTCTTTTTACTAATTCATAAGAATGCATCCATAACTATGCTTAGGGAACTTCCCCATTCATAACAATGCTTCAAGACTTTCCTTCTCAACACCCGTCCATAACAATGCTTCAAGACTTTCCTTCTCAACACCCGTCCTTAACAATGCTTCAAGACTTTCCTTGTCAACACCTGTCCATATCAATGCTTCAAGACTTTCCTTCTGAACACCTGTCCATAACAATGCTTCGAGACTTTCCTTCTCAACACCCGTCCAGAACAATGCTTCAAGACTTTCCTCCTCAACACCTGTCCATAACAATACTTCAAGACTTTCCTTCTCAACAACCGTCCATAACAATGCTTCAAGCCTTTCCTTCTCAACACCCGTCCTTAACAATGCTTCAAGACTTTCCTTCTGAACACCTGTCCATAACAATGCTTCGAGACTTTCCTTCTCAACACCCGTCCAGAACAATGCTTCAAGACTTTCCTCCTCAACACCTGTCCATAACAATACTTCAAGACTTTCCTTCTCAACCCCTGTCCATAACAATGCTTCAAGCCTTTCCTTCTCAACACCCGTCCAGAACAATGCTTCAAGACTTTCCTCCTCAACACCTGTCCATAACAATACTTCAAGACTTTCCTTCTCAACACCTGTCCATAACAATGCTTCAGGACATCCATTGTGACATTCCTTCAGTACACCCATTTTAGACATCTTCATCACTGTTTCAGCTACCGTGTTGGATTAACATTCTGAATTCAAATGTTTACTGATCCAATACATTTATTCAGTTATTCTCAGTGGGTGAAACTTTTAGGAGAAGTACACTTTTTGTGTAAGAAGTCTTCTTTCACCATATCAAATACAAAAGCAAAATTATTTCCCATTAGTGCAATGGTCAAGTGCTCTTTATGATAAAGGATTCCTAATATGCCTGAAATAGTACCTGGCCTCCCATCATGGTGTAGGTCTTCCCTGTGCTGGTCTGTCCGTAGGCAAACAGACATGCATTGTATCCCTCGAAGGCTGCCTGTAGGACCTCTGTCCCCAGGTCCTGGAACACCTACAAAACATAAACACATTGTTACTGTACCAACTATTCTTCTGAAGGATATATTATCAAGGTCATCTACATACAATGTTTAGGATGTGAATGATGTCATCAATATACAATGTTTAGGACATCAGTGATGTAATCAATATACAATGTTTAGGATATCAGTGATGTCATCAACATACAATGTTTTGGATGTGAATGATCTCATCAATATACAATGTTTAGGATGTCAGTGGGGTCATCATGTCAATGTTTTGGAAGTGAATGATGTCATAAATATACAACGTTTTGGATGTGAATGATGTCATCAATATATAATGTTGAGGTCGTCAGTGATGTCATAAATATACAATGTTTTGGACCTGAATGATGTCATCAATATACAATGTTTTGGTATTGAATGATGTCATCAATATACAATGGTTAGGACGTCAGTGATGTCATCAATATACAATGTTCTGGAAGTGAATGATGTCATTGATATACAATGTTTAGGATGTCAGTGGTGTCATCATGTCAATGTTTTGGAAGTGAATGATGTCATCAATATACAATGTTTAGGATGTGAATGATGTCATAAATATACAATGTTTTGGATGTGAATGATGTCATCAATATACAATGTTTAGGACGTCAGTGATGTCATAAATATACAATGTTTAGTATGTGAATGATATCATCAACATACAATGTTTAGGACATCAGTGATGTCATCAACATACAATGTTTTGGAAGTGAATGATGTCATAAATATACAATGTTTAGGAAGTGAATGATGTCATCAACATACAATGTTTAGAACATCAGTGATGTCATCAACATACAATGTTTTGGAAGTGAATGATGTCATCAATATACAATGTTTAGAATGTCAGTGATTTCATCAACATACAATGTTTTGGAAGTGAATGATGTCATCAACATACAATGTTTTGGAAGTGAATGATGTCATCCACATACAATGTTTTCGAGTTCTTTGATGTCATCAATATACATAAAATAATGTCCATGAAGGGGATTATGGACAGATAGTCTTAATAAATAGATATCTAAAACTCTGTCTAAAAGGAGGGTTATCTATGACTACGCACCAGGAACAACAATAATTAGCTAGAAACTATTGATTGTTATAATTAAAGGTTTTATGTCATCATTCTGTTCTGCTATAAAATCTACAAATCGTTATTTACCTGACCAGTACTACAGCAGACACACAGGACAAAACTGTTTTTTTCTCTATCAGTATTATATAGTTTATCAATATTCCATTTATTTTTGGTTCAGTCATCAATGGTTTCTCTAAGTGACGACTATTAATTGACCTGAATTTATTTCCAATTGACCATTATTCAGTCTACTTCAAAGGTTTCCTATCCATTTGCTCACAACCATACACCTCTGTCCTACCATCAACGTATAATTCATTCCAGTATTATTGAAGTAGGGTTTAACATTTTATGCACAGAGTTATAAATGTGGAGAAATTGATAAAGCATTCAAGTATTAATGAAGTATTCTGACAAATTTAGGTACAAGATTCTTTATTTGAACTTAAAGCCCCCCACCCACCCACACACCCACCCACACACCCATACACACACACTTTCCCAGTATCTTCACTTGCATTCTATTTCAATGTTAAGAGATATACAAACTAATAACAGGTAAGATAACTCATAGTCAAGCAAAGAAATGTTTTTTATTAAACATCACACAAGACACGTGACGATAGTACCAGCTGTGTCTCACCTATGTTCTGTACATGTAAACTTATCTGTACATTGTATATTGATTTCGGCTAGCACACCAGGTCTGATATCAATTTTCAGGCATTAAAACACTGATCAAACCAACTTATTTTTAGAGTATCGCCTTGTTACAGAATCATCAAAGATGTCTGGCAGTTTGTCCGCAATCACAAATGAAATATTTGGACTTCGTAAAGTGGAACCAAAACTTCTACCATGTTTAGAAATGATGTTACTAGCTATAGGTTCTATTGAGTATGGTACAGAATATCATTCTCTACCATTATAACAGCCAAATTGGACTTGATGCATGTTCATCAATATATTGTTACCTTACAGAATTAGGAGGAAGACAAATTGAATTTTACTTATGTCGGGAAGGAACTTTTCGATGAAGCCCTAATTGAATATTGACCCTTTAACTGTTCATATGATACAGACAATCCCATGAATATTTTTTATAAAAGGTTTCCACACCGAGTATAAAGGATTAGGTTGCAGGTGCCAACCTTAGACAAGGATAGCCAGCAATTAATTCAGCCAAGTTACAAACCAATATGTCAATTCAGTGGTTCACATTTTTTGGCTGGTTGACATAAAGCCATTGGATTTCAAAACTGATATGTCCAGATCTATCAATATCCAACTGTATATATATATAGATATATCTACAAAAAGTAGCTCCAGACCATGCCCTAAATTCCCCACCAATGTGATGGGTGATCTATCATACTAGCAGTAAAGGGAATGTCTAAACACTTTGGTTCTACCATTTGCTCAATGCCATAGTCCACTATAGCCTCCCAATCAACGGGCAATTTAAATGTCTGACGCTATACAACTCTGCAACATGCAACAAACACTCAGCTGAAGTTTGGTCCAAACTTTGTGACACACAACAATTTATTTGCCTGCAATAATTGTAGCCATGAGTATTTGCTTTAGCCTGTTGTATATTATGTGTACTGCTGTGAAAAAACGACTTGTAAAGCCCTGATAGGGTTCGGAGTGTGTGATAAGTATTATGTGAACGGTATTGACTCTATGATAATTGTCCAAATCTGTCCACGTTCCTGATAAGTTCAGGACAAAAGTTGCTACAATTTTACTGTAATTTATGATAGTACTGATTCAGAAAGTAGTGTACGGTGTATACTATATTCCGATACAAAAAATTAAGAGTCTCAACAATTACCTTTGAATATCTAAATTACTGTCATGTTTTGGTCAACAAACAGTACCTTAGCTTACCTGTGATATGTACCTTAGTTTACCTGTGATATGTACCTTAGTTTACCTGTGCTGTGAACCTTAGTTTACCTGTGATATGAACCTTAGTTGACGTGGATAACTACCTTGATTTACCTCTGATAACTACCTTGATTTACCTCTGATAACTACCCTGATTTACCTCTGATAACTACCTTGGTTTACCTCCGATAACTACCTTGATTTACCTCTGATAACTACCTTGATTTACCTCTGATAACTACCTTGATTTACCTCTGATAACTACCTTGATTTACCTCTGATAACTACCTTGATTTACCTCTGATAACTACCTTGATTTACCTCTGATAACTACCTTGATTTACCTCTGATAACTACCTTGATTTACCTCTGATAACTACCTTGATTTACCTCTGATAACTACCTTGATTTACCTCTGATAACTACCTTGATTTACCTCTGATAACTACCTTGATTTACCTCTGATAACTACCTTGATTTACCTCTGATAACTACCTTGATTTACCTCTGATAACTACCTTGATTTACCTCTGATAACTACCTTGATTTACCTGATAACTACCTTGATTTACCTGATAACTACCTTCATTTACCTCTGATAACTACCTTGATTTACCAGATAACTACCTTGATTTTCCTCGATAACTACCTGGGTTTACCGTTAACAAACTATACCCTAATAACATTTTAGTAGATAGGATTGATGAACTTGTCATGATAAACAGAATCTATTAGCATTGAAGTGGCTAAAGAGTAGATTTGTCAACTAACATTGGAGTAACGGACACTAATCATAGTATTACTCTAACATTGGAGTAACGGACACTAATTATAGTATTACTCTAACATTGGAGTAACGGACACTAATTATAGTATTACTCTAACATTGGAGTAACGGACACTAATTATAGTATTACGCTAAATTCAAAGTAAAACTGTTTACAGTTCAGTGATGGCCATTGATAGACTGATCTACATGACAATGTATCCCAAAACATGTACTGATGCTCTGAACTGAGCTATATATATATATGTCTACTGCCAGGTAGAGTTCTGTGATCCACATCGTTACATCTATGGTTCATGAGAAGATGATGATGATGATTGTCCATATTCATTGTGTAAATGAACCTAATATACATTATTTATGAGCCTAGCTGTTCCCAAGGACCCCCAGCTGCCCTGGTTCATTACTAGCCTAGATACCTGACTTTTGACCTGTGTCATTAAGGTCAATGCACTGTGACCTCTACATAGACCACAGGTGTTTGACCGATTGATTAATAAAAAAATAATACAATTACACCTAGCTATTTGTAACCAATATCATGCATTGACAATGTGTTACATTCAGGTAAAGGACTCATTTTAAATGTGATTAACTTATTATTAATGAAATTATCAAATAAATATATGATGTGGTTTTATCTTCAAATCCTGCTAAGTTAAAGTTAACTGAACATTAACTCAAATGAAAAAACACCTAACTTCTTAAATATTTTGTATTAAACATACATATTTACAACACAATGTCTAACATGTTCTAGGGTGAATCTTGGTTCATGTTGTTTTGAGCAAACGGCCATCAACATGCTGTACCAGTGTTTTGCTGATGCCTGTATTTTGGAGCATGTCCTAGGCATGTTGTGCTTTACACATTGCAAGGTGTGTAAGGACTTTCTTGTAACACATAGCACTATTGATTGGTCTCCATATAGCTCCCATTGTTCCAAATCAAACACATGTAAGATGAACTAATCAGGAGAATTTGGAACTGCTGTACACCCCCCCCCCCTAAAAAAATAAAGTAACCTCCCTCAGTTAGCCAGGGAATTTGTCGAGGAATAAAAATAAAATCCATATACGGAGAGTCAATGTCCTTATGAACTCCACGCAATGCAGACTTAGAGAAGAAGCTATAACTGTTTGAGGAGGACATGCACACACAATATTTCATGGGAATGGTGTCACAACTACTGCCATTTTAACTTTGAGTAACTTAGGATA